TTCGTATCATCAGCATAAAAATGACATTGAAACCCATATGAATGGATAAGTTTACCTAAAGATAGTGTATCAAGAGAATACAAACAAGGGTCCAGAACAGAGAGCTTTGTGGAACCCCAACCAAAAAGGGAAAAGAAGATACATGCTCTCCAGTTACTACACTAAATGACCAGCCAGAGAGATGTGCATCGTCTGAAAACTGAATCAGTAAAGTCAAGGCCAAGAAGCAAGACCCACAAAAGAGCATGATCAACTGTGTCAAAGACTGCAGAGAGATTAAAGAAAATAGGGACGGAACCTTTTCACTTGCCTGAAAGGAAACCATCTGGGATTTTTGTAAGAGCTCCCTCTGTAGAGTACAAAATTCAGATTGAAAGGGATCTATTACAGAAATATAGAAAATGGGGATTGTTGGAAATACAACAACTTAGCCCTGAAGAGTGAAGAATGTCTCGCAATGGACAAAAGTAATAGGTTTGAGTGACCTGAAGCATCCTCCCTCTATGCCCATCTATCTTGACCCCTCTGTCATCATCATATGCGATCACTTGTGGCCAAGTATGATTGTGTCCAAGTATAGGGTCTTGGCGGTGGATCCGTAGGTGACTGTAGAGACCTATTCTTAGTTTGCATGTTCTTTTGCAGTGAGAACATTGATTTCCAAAGGGAAGGTAGTCCCAACAAGAGTTGGCTTGATGCATCTTCCTCTTGACATGTTTATCCCTTTCGCCCTCCATTCGTGCCTCTTCAAATTTCACACCACTATTGGTCACAGCTGACCTCCAGTTAGAACGCTTGAGGGCCAGGACCCCCCAGCTCCCCAGTTCTCGGTGTCTATGCCACAGTTTTAAAGTTAGCTCTAAGTCCATCTTAAAATCTCTCTTCCAGTCCACCAACCTTCCATTTTCTGTTCTTGGGAGATGGTGATCGGGCATTGAAATAACGTGGCCAGTCCAGCGGAGTTGATGGCAGAGGATCATCGTGTCAGTGCTGGTGGTCTTTGCCAAGAAGCTACTTAACAAGAAGAAGAAGAAGAAGAAGAAGAGGAGGAGGAGGAGGAGGAGGAGGAAGAGGAAGAAGAGGAAGAAGAAGAAAGAAGAAGAGTTGTATTCCGCCCTATCTCCCCTAGGGGTCTTATGCCATCTTCTTGCCATCTTCCAGATTACCCAGGACTGGTGTCTTCCATACCTTCCGTCTTAATTATTTTAGCACAAAGCTGCTGATCACTTTTCCGTTGGCCATTCTTCTCAATTTTTTGTTTGTTTTTTTTAAACTCCCCAACTCTTCTTTTTTTGGGGGGGGGGGGGCTAGAACTGCTACTCCTGTAAGCAGCAAGATGCATTAAGTTACTTTTAAAACAGGTTGCAAAGCTTACCTCTACTTTTTAACCTTAAAAAAAATCAACATTTGGCCACTTTAGGGGCTACTTTATTTCTGACAAGTCCATGTGGCTTCCAGAGGGCTCTCAGGGCACAGAAGTAGCTTTTAGACCTGTCACACATGCTCATTCAATGCCACTGTAAATCATTGGAGTCAACTATCAGAAGACAAAAATACAGGGCAATCGTTCTGGGAATGTGTGGTTAAAGCAAAATCTACTTATAAAGAAAGGGGAGGAAATACTCTCTCCATAGCATGAGGAAGATAAATTAATCTCAGTGGAAAGGAACAGAGAATACAGGACATAGCTGGGAACCTTCTAATATTGGTTTGCACCTGACTCTTAGAGCTGCTGCGAGATACTAGTGTTATAAACTGTCAGAATTGAACAGGTGGCTTAACTCTTCCTCTGCATCATTCCTCCAAATGGCACTCAAATCAGCATCAAACCTCATAATCTCATGTAAAGCTCTCCATCAAGTCAGAGTGACAGCACAAAGATACATATCTCTGTTAAGAAATATGTGTACCTCTGGGTTCAACGAGTACAGGATTACAAGCCGGAGGTTACAGTTTAAAAGGAAACTTCTGTCTCTCACTTTAGTGTATGAGTGTTCACCCTCATGGTCACAACTACAATCACAAAAGGCCCTATTCCTTCAGAGATAACTTGAAAGAATCGGCTTGTAGTGGTTGGACACAGAGTGACCCCACTTTCTCTTTTAAGGTCAGTAACCAAATCCTGGTGATATACATCACACAAAATGGCACAGAGAAAGAAAAAAACATGACCCTCACTATACACTGCTGCTAGGCAACCATATTTTTAGGTTGTTGTAAGTTTTTCGGGCTGTATGGCCATGTTTCAGAAGCATTCTCTCCTGATGCTTCGCCTGCATCTATGGCAGGCATTCTCAGAGGTTGTGACCTCAGCCCAGAAAACAACAACCCAATGATTCCGGCCATGATAGCCTTCGACAATATATTGAACCATAATTTTGAAAAGTTCTCTGCTTGAGCACATTTGTTGATGCAGAGAGCTTCTAGACCTGGCGAAAAGGGTCCCTTCTGAATCTGTGGGCAATCTGCACAGATGTCTGTATGCACAGAGATTGCATTCTGTCAAATGTTAGAGAGACCATTGTCAGGGGATCATTCATGACAACACTGATAACGGTTGTGACAGGCCACTGTGAAAGCTGAAAGTATATCTAGATCAGAGGTCCTCAAACTTTTTAAACAGAGAGCCAGGTCACAGTCCTTCAAACTGTTGGAGGGGCGGATTATAATTTGGAAAAAAAATGAATGAATTACTATGAACACTGCATATCTCATTTGTAGTGCAAAAAACAGTTAAAACAATACAATAATTAAACTGAAGAACAATTTTAACAAATATAAACTTATTAGTATTTCAATGGGAAGTATTTCATTTGGGCCTGCTTTAGGCCGATGAGATAAGGTTGTGGTTGTTGTTGTTGTTGTTGTTGTGTGCTTTCAAGTCATTTCAGACTTAGGTTGACCCTGAGGGAGGGCCGGGTAAATGATCTTGGAGGGCTGTAACCAGCCCTTGGGCCTTAGTTTGAGGACCCCTGATCTAGATATATGGGGGAAAGTGTTCTGCAGATTATTTTAGGTTTAAGATCCTCACTGCACCCTATACGCTCTACCTTACATGCCCATCATCCATCCTTTCAAACAAATGGCAATGCAAGCCAAGATATTTTGTAGCCACATACACCAAGGTGCACAGTACACAAACACACACACATTTCTACAACCTTCAAGGAATAGAAACTGCAAATTATGTTGACAAATAAGACAGTGATTTTAGTGGGCAGAATAATAGGGTCTATCATCATAAAGACATTGACACAATCCCTTCATCTCAATCCTCTCCTCTCTGTGATTTCATTCTTTTCTCCCTCTTCCTTTCATTCTTCCTCTCTCATGCCACGTCTCCTTCTCCCTGACCAGAACAAGACCACATGCTAAGGATTAGCTATCTTGGCTGGGGCCTCCAGCCCTTCCTTTGATATGCATTACCCATGGACTTTCAAATCTATTTCTATAGCATTATTTACATAACTTTAAAGCGGTTTGTGAATACATTGAGATAGTTCAAGAGTTTCCATACTTTGGCTTAGTCATTAACCAGAATGGAGACCGCAGTCAAGAAATCAGAAGAAGTCTAGGACTTGGAAGGGCAGCTTTTAAGGAACTAGATAAGATACTGAAGTGTGAAGATTTATCATTTAATACTAAAGTTAGGATTATCCATGTCACCACGTTTCCCATGACTATACATGGTTGTGAAACCTGGGCAGTGAAGAAAGCTGATAAGAAGAAAACAAACTCATTTGAGATGTGATGCTAAATAAGAATTATATGGATACTGTAGGTTTCTTAAAAAGACAAATAAATGGTTCCAAGAGCAAATCAATCCTACAAACCAAGAAGCATTCGGACTTTGGCTATATTATGAGAAGACATAACTCACTAGAAATGGCATAAATGTCTAGTAAGATAGAAGGCAGGAGGAAAAGATACCACACTGCAGATATACAGGCTCAATCAAGGAAGCTACAGCCCTTTAGATTCTGCAACCTGAGTAGAACTATTAAAGATAGAGAGGTCTCTCATTCATAGGGTTATCATAAGTCACAGTCAATTTGACAGAAATTAACAACAACAATTAATGTGAGAAATGTAAAGGAACATATCCATTTCACTATGGTGACTCTAGATACGAGGGTTGAATGAAAAGTAATGCCTCCACCTTCGTTACTTGGGTTTGGATGGGAATATTTTAATAAATCAAACACAGAAACAGTCCTTAGAATGTGCTCTTTGACTTCCACTATTCATTTTTCCAAATAATCACCAGACAATTGGATACATTTCTGCCAACGATGAACATGTTATTTAAAGCCGTCACGGAAGAAGTCGACACTCTGTTTCCGCAACACATCGTACACAGATCTTCTGATAGCCAAGCAAAGCAATAATGTGACCCACATATTCTTGTGAAATGCCCATTATGCTTGAAATTTCTCTCTGAGTGATATGACGATCATCCTGAATCAATCTGTCAACCTTTTGCTTGTGAAACTCGGTGGTTGCTGTCACAGGACATCCAACTCTTTGTTACACAAGTCAGATGTTCCCACTTCAACATCTTTAAACTTACTTGCCCAACGACACACAGTACTCACATCAACACAATCACCATAAACAGCTTGCATTCTCCGATGTATCTCCTTTGAGGTGACACCTTCTGCTGTCAAGAATTCAATGACTGCACATTGCTTAAGTCGCATTGACCGACCGTCTGTGCAGGGTTCCATACTTCGCATTTTAACAACACAACCGTTCAATGCTAAGGCTTCCCACCGAAATGGAACTGTAGAGGAGAGTCTACTGAACAAGCCAGTCCCTGCCTCATACCAGTACTGCCATCTGTTGAAGACTTATGAAGGTGGAGGCATTACTTTTCATTCAACCCTTGTAGGATCCTATTGAGAAGCCATCCCTGGTAGGACTTTCCTTAAGGGCCTCTTGTTCTTCTTGGCAAAAGGGCCCTCTTAACAGTACATTACAAAGCATAATGTGCTCTGATCTCAATCTTGTGCCAGATCCTCAGTGCCCAACCTCTGCAGTCTCTGCTGGGCACATTCAGCTTGCAGTCGGGCTTCTGGTTCAGGGTCCCAGCAGTCCTCTAGGAGCTCCTGTAGGCAAACAGCAACCTGAGGGGAAACAAGAGAAGGGGGACAGCTAGACCAGACAATTACAAGACTTCAGAGTATGGGACACTGGGCAACTGGATGCAAAAGAAGACAAGATTCCTGCTGCCCTCTTATCAGATGTACAGCAAAGGATGTACAGCAGATGTACCAAGTGGTGTTAGTTGTCACGCCAGCAGCTCCTGCTGAAATAACCCTCTTCTACTCAAGTATAAAAAGGGAAGCAAGATCCCTGCCCTTCTTTGCATCTGGAAAGTCCTGCAAGCATAGTTTGAAAATGGACATGAGCTGTGAAATAAATCAGCTCCCTTCTTTCCTTACATCCAGTCTAGATAGTGGGCCTTCAGGAGCCCTCTTCAGGCATGCCCCACCTTGTCTCTCCTCGTATATTCGTCATATATCTCTGCTTTCCTGATCTTCGCTCTTACAGTTTTACTATCTTCAGTCACCCGATTCTCATAAATAGACCCTTTCCTTCTCTTGCTGAACCAAGTTGGTTCCATAGATTTCCGCTACCCCATTGTTAAATAAAATACACCAGCAGGTGCCCTCACCAACCTGTCTCCTCCCCTATGAATACTTCTAGCAACACAGATTACTAAAGAGGTATACATTCCTGTTATCTTCATTTGGCAGCTTTAGCTTCTGACTCCACCCTGAGCCTCCAGCTTCTCTATCATTGTTCGGTCCTGATACTATGAGCTGGGCTTCTGTGGTGCCCAGCAGGCTTGTGACTGTGGCAGAAGCAGTAGTGACTAAGGTTTGCTATGTAAATCCACTCTGGGGTTTAGTCTGCACTTTAAAAGAGCTATCCAATATGGCAGCCCTGCTCCCCAGTAAGCTCAGCATCTTGGATGCTGATGGTGATGATTTTATTTGCACCCTATATTTTTCCAGGTTGGGATACGAAGAGGTTAAAAACTTCAAAAGTGGCATGGTTAAAAACATACAAAAGGTAATAATTAAAAGATAATTTAACTAAATCAACTCTTAAAATGATTCAATAAAACGACAATCCTAAAATAAATTTAAAAGTTGTTAAAAATTACTCCACATTGCCTAGTGCAGGCATGGGCAAACTTTCTAACTTGGGGGCCACATGGCAGAGCCAGAGCAGGGTGGGCGGGTCAGGAAAGAGAGGGTTCTCCCCAAGCCCCCTTCCTGCCCCTTCCTCCCATTCCTCTTCTCCTTGGGAGGCAGAAAGTAAAGGATAGACAGGAAACGTTTGGATCCCAAAAGGGTTGGCTTTGGTCAAGATGAGATGGTGGATGGGAGAGAAGAGGTGTATCCATTAGGCCCTGTATTGCCTACTCCTGATATATAATCCTAGAGCTGGAAGAGACTGCCAAGGGCCATCCAGTCCAACCCCTTTTCATGCAAGAAGGTACAATCAAAGCATTCCTGATAGACAGCCTCTGCAGAAAAGCCTCCCAAGAAGGAGACTCCACCACATTCCCAGGCAGCCTATGCCACTCTCTAACAGCTCTTACTCTCAGGAAGTTCTTCCAAATCTTTTCAGTCAAATATCTTTCCCTGCCATTTGAACCCATTGCTCCCTTGTGCCCTGGTCTCTAGAGTAGCAGAAAGTCATTTTTCCCTTTCCTCCTCAATGGGACACCCTTTGAAATTTTGAAACATAATTCTCATGTTCCTTCTCAACTGTCTCTTCTCCCAGCTAAACATCCCCCAGGAGGAAAGGAGGAAGGAAAAAGAGAAGGGAAGGATGGAAGGAAGGGAAAGAGAGAAGGAAGGAGATACAAAAAGGAAGAAAGGAGAAAGAGGGAGAGAGCGAAGGAGGGAGGAAAGAAGGAAGGAAGTAAAGACAAAAAGGTGGAAGGGAAGGGAAGAGGGAAGGAGGAAAAGGGAGGCAAGGAAAGGAAGGATGGATGGATGGGAGGGAGGGAGGGAAAGGAAGGAGATAGGAAAGAGAGAAGGAAGGAAAGACAAAAGGGAAGGAAGGAGAAAGAGGGGGAGAGGGAAGGAAGGAGAAAGAGAATAAAGGAAGGACAAAAGGGTGGAAGGGAAGGGAAGGGAAGGAGGAGGAAGAAAAAGGGAGGTAAGGAAGGAAGGGAAGAAGGGAAGGGAAGGAAGGAAGGAAGGAAAAGGAAAGGAGGGAGGGAAAGGAGAGAGGTAGAAAAGAGAGAAGGAGAAAGAGGGAGGAAGGAGGAAGGAAAGGGGAAAGGAAGGAAGGACAAAAGGGTGGAAAGGAAGGAATGTGGGAGGTAAGAAAGGAAGGGATGAATGGAAGGAGGAAGGAAAGTGAAGGAAGGAAGTATAGGATGGCGTGAGAGAGGAGGGCCTGAGAAAAGAGCCCAAGTGGCCGCATCTGGCCTGCGGGCCTGGGTTTGCCCATATCTGCCCAAGCCCATTTCAGTTTTTTAAAGTCTGTTGAATAAAAAGGCTTTGGTCTGTCTGGGAAGGGAATTTCAGAGAAAAGGAATTTCAGAGAAAAGGAACAACCACCTTCTCTTGCATCATTACCAACTCTAGTGGGAATTCAAAGATAATAGGACTTTTAAAATTTGGATTACATCCCAAAGGAGCCCCCGGTGGCGCAGTGGGTTAAAGCACTGAGCTGCTGAGCTTGTTGATTGAAAGGTCGCAGGTTCGATTCCGGGGACGGCGTGAGATTCCGCTATCAGCCCTACCTTCTGCCAACCTAGCAGTTCGAAAACATGCAAATGTGAATAGATCGATAGGTACTGCTCCGGCGGGAAGGTAACGGCGCTCCATGCAGTCATGCCGACCACATGACCTTGGAGGTGTCTACGGACAACGCTGGCTCTTCGGCTTAGAAATGGAGATGAGCACCACACCCCTGAGTCAGACATGACTAGACTTAATATCAGGGGACTACCTTTACCTTTTTACCCAAAGCAAATTCAATACAACCACCACCACCACTAGGAAGCATTCGGTCAGGCAGTAAGGAAATATTGATAGCTACAGAGCTGGGATGTTCGGCCTGAGAACTGTGGTGTGAGCCAAACACTAAGCAAACGATTATTCGCAATGCTAAACTCAGTTTCCAATTTCTGGTAACCGCATTTCAAATCTGATACATTTTCTCACTACACCACCTGAAAGAAGTTGAAAACACACTGAAAATCCCACTGTCCTATAAGCTGACTACTAGTTCATTTTCCAGAAACACTTAGTCAATAGGTTCCATCCTTTATTCACTGTGGTGACGATTTCAGTATGCGGCGGATGGAGCTTTCATGTTGGAAAAGAAAATGTAGGATATGCATAAATAATCTAATTAGAAGAAACTTTCATTTTCCATTAGGATCTACATAACAGCATTTTAACCAGCCCTTGGAAATATTTAAGTGGATTTGAGGGTCAAATTAGATTTTAGAAGCACATGACAGGAACAATCTCCTTACTTGAAAAACATGAAAAAATCGCCCCCAGAATTATTCTCTTCAAAGTTACAGACTTACATAACTTTTAAGTAAGTTTCTTTGATTTCCCCTTAGAGAGGCTGTTATATACACCTGGCTTTGGTTTTAGCAAAATCTGACTTGTAATGTCTAGCTTGGTCCTGGATTTATTATGTTTCTTATCCCTGGACTTGTCTACACAAATGAAAAAAACAACTCTCACTCACTTTGAACTACAATCAGATGACACGACTCGTGGCCACTTCCACTTTTTTAGCTTTCAATCCATCTTCTAGAAATCTGGAAGATTACTCCAGAATATCCTGGAAGTGTGGACAGCCATATTGCATGGTGGCGGCAAGCACTGATAGCTGGAAGCACTTGCCATTCACTACCTAGGATCCCACTTTGAAATTGTAAGAAGCCACCAATCCCTGTGACCAATAATGATGGGGTAACTGGGCTATCCCCTATCACTGATTGCAAGACTGGGTCCCTCCTTATGGCCTCAATGCAAACAAAGCCATTGCCAGCAGGGTTTGATGGTGTCATATTGATGGTGTTTGGACCATCAATATGACATTGAGTCACTTTCATAATTTATGTATGGCACTAATCTGGAGACTCCAGGGCAGATTACTATGGATTGTACCAAATTATGTTGGTGTAGACAAATCCCTAATATGATATAAAGGTAAAGGTTTCCCTTGACATTAGGTCTCGCTGTGTCTGACTCTGGGCGGTGGTGCTCACTTCATTTCTAAGCTGAAGAGCTGGCATTGTCCATAGACACCTCCTAAGTCATGTGGCCAGCATGACTGCATGGAGCGCCATTATCTTCTCACCGAAGCAGTACCTATTGATCTATTCAGATTTGCATTTTTCGAACTGCTAGGTTGGCAGAAGCTGGGGTTAACAATGGGAGCTCACCCTGTCTGTGGATTCGAACTGCTGGCCTTCCGATCAGCAAGTTCTGCAACAGTGGTTTAACCCGCTGCACCACCACAGCCCCTCCCAATATGATATTTCACTGTATTTTTATTACACTCACTTTTAAGAATATCATGCTATTCTCTTTTAATAACTGAAAAAGTAAAAAACAAAAAAACCTCATCGATCAATTAATTAGTTGTATAAAATATTTCTTTTTAAAAGTGAAGGGGGTGTAAGAAGATTCTTTTAGATAGCAAAATGCCCAATCAATCCAGCACATATTTACTCAGAGGTACAATCTGCTATTGGGGCTCATACACCAATAACTGAATGTAAGATTGCAGTCTCACTTACCAGACCAGTTCTTTTCCAAGTCAGAGGAATGGCTGGCCTTCCTCTTTCTTTGACAGCCAGGTTCCACAACTCACTGTATGTGGGATTACGGCCAAGTTCTGCTTCATAGGCAAGCTGGAAGTCAGGGACAATGTTCTCTGGGGAGGAAAAAAACAGCAGAAGATAGGGCAAGATGGGCAAAGGGTGGCCCTCAACTTACATGCCTTGGGAAGTCTGATCTGGCCACAGTGGTCCACACTCTTGTTACATCTTGAATAGATTATTGCAGTGCACTCTACATGGGCTTGTCTTTGAAGACTGTTCGGAAATTCCAACTAGTTCAACGGTTGGCAGCCAGATTACTCACCGGAGTGACTTATAGGGAACATACCACCCCCCTCCTTCATCAGCTCCACTGGCTGCCGGTCCATTTCCGAGCACAATTCAAAGTGCTGGTCTTGACTTATAAAGCCCTGTATGGTTCCAGCCCAGTTTACTTGTCTGAACGTATCTCCCTCTGTGACCCACCTCGGAGTTTACAATCATTGGGGAGGTCCTGCTCTCCATCCCGCTACCCTCGCAAGCACGATTGACGGGGACACGAGACAGGGCCTTCTCAGTGGTGGCCCCCATCTATGGAATGCACTCCCAGTGAAATTAACCTGACTCTTTCTCTCCTCTTCTTCATTGACTGCTCATAGGAGGGAAATATAGTAGAGGCAAAGATGAAGTATTTTGGCCACATCATGAGAAGACAGGAAAGCTTAGAGAAGACAATGATGCGGAGGAAAATGGAAGGAAAAAGGAAGAGCAAGACGGATGGATGGGTTCCTTGAAGTGACTGGATTGACCTTGAAGGTGTAGGGGGGTGCTCTGGTGTGGGCTGGTCCATGAGGTCCATGAGGTCATGAAGAGTCAGAAACGACTGAACGAATGAACAACAACAAATTCTATGTGTATGTTGATTACCAGTTTGGCCTACCTCCTTGGTGTGGGAGGTGTTACAGACATGTGATTGTGCTGAGCATGTTCAGACTAGGACTCCATTTTGCATTCAGTTTGCATCAGACCTCAATGGAGGTGGATGCATGTTGCCAGGGGCGGCTCGTCCATTACGCAAAGTAAGCAGTCGCAGAACACTTTTTTTTTTGCCAGGGCGCAGTCTGGGGGGAGCCTCTGCTTTCTTGTCTCGCTGCCGGGCGAT